CCGCCAAAGCAGGAGACGTAAGAGACATGGGTTCGAACCCTGGGTTGGGAAGATCCCCTGGAGGAGGGCATGGCAACCCTCTCCAGTATTCATGCCTGGAGAATCTCATGGACAGAGGAGTCTGGAGCGCTACAGTCTGTAAGGTCTCAAAGAGTCAGACATGACTGAAGTGACTTAGCACAGCACAGCAAGTAAATAACATCAGCTCTGCTGTGAGAATCAAAATAAACAGTACTGAAGCTCTTGGTAGTGAATAAAAGACTACAATTAATGCTTAGCATTTATATGTAATACTGCCTTGTAACAGTCTCAAATTACCTGTACACATAGATTTTTCTCCTTGTAAGCCAGACAAAAAGTCTTTGAGAGGTGCCCTGGGTAATGTTTCTCTGTATCCTGTCCAACGTTCAATCCTTTGGGACAAATAATAAACATGCAATGATTTTCTGAAAACTGTTCAGTTTACCAAAATTTGTGGAACCCCTTCACCATTAAGTAAATCGCATAAACTTCATATGCTGTATGATAGGTATTTCTCACTCACACTGGCAACACTCTTTAGTTTTAGCCAGGAGAGTTGTAATATGCTATCTGCTCTCCTTAAGAGCACAGTATATCTCACTAATCTTTGTTACCTCAGCTCCTACCATAGTCATCTAAGTACAGAAAAGTCCAGTTAATGTCTGAAAATAAATCAATATGTTAATAAATTAATAAACTTTAATTAAATAGCTCCCTAATACTACCTCCATTTAGTATCCTGAAATTTAAAACACCAATCTTTGTTTGATTTTAGTTAAAATTTTTTTTTTAATCTTCCAGAATCATCTAAACATTTTAAAAGTAGACCCATCCAATAAGTCATGTGATTATCCCATCTTCCCTTGTGAACCTGAGCAAGCTCTTATTCAAAGATCATGAAGGGGATTAAGCTGCAGGAGTGGGGGTGGTAAGGAATGGACAGCTCTTGGTCTTGAAGGAGGGAAAATTGTACTAATTGTTCAGAGAATACAACATTATTCCGCACATGTAAACAGTCAAGGTAACATACTGCAGATGAATAAAGAGCTTCTGTCTAGAAGAACTATAAACTTTGGCAGGAACCACGGTGCTGCCGCAGTGAAAGCCCTCCTGCTGGGGCTGCAATGGAAAAAGTGACCTCAGAGAGGAATTCAGAACTGAAATGCTCAGAGAGAAGATGAAACACCATGAAGTTTTGATTAAGTCACTTGGTTCCAGGCATATAAAAGTATAAAGCTGTTTCAGCTTTTTTAAAAACTGCAGATTCCATGAACTTTGTAGATGACTGTTCTATTCTAGTTGTAGCTTAGAATTCCTAAGTGCCTCCACCCTCTGTTCTTCATGAGAGATATGCAGTGTTTAAGACTGCATTCTCCTAGATAGCCCAGGTAAGGAAGCAACGTAAGTCCAGTCTGGAGTCACTGGACCTAGATCACTCAGTGTTCTGAGGTGTCCCAGCATAGAAGGTGCACTGAGGAGGGACCCCAAAATACAAAGGCAAAGGCAGTGCTAGAGGGAAACCATCGCACACCCTTTCCTCCGTCCTGCTCCCATCTAGAGAGGGCATCCCTTTAGTGGAGAAGTTTATGGGTGTAAGCTAGCAATTTACATCTCTCACCACCAGGAGTTAGTTCGGTGAGTGTTTTAGAGCTGGTGTCTCTTGCTACCTGATCTGCTCTTGAAATTTTATTTAATATATTAGGCTTCTGCATGGAAAAAATGAAATGCATCATGGCATATGAGTAGGAACAAAACCATGTTCTAGAAAAAAAAAAAGCCACCCACCCTCTTGCCTCAAACAGGCTTTTATTTTTAAATATAGATTTATATTTCCAGTAATGCATGAATCAAGTCACATATTTAATGTCAGTAGAGAGTGTAATTTTGGAGTCATACCAGAAAGAAAAAGGGGCGGGGGGAAGGTGTGAGCACATAAAACTTATTTATATTATTATTTATCTTATTTCCATCGATTGAAAATAAATTTTCAGGAGTACCACTTCTCAAGTTAATTCATGTCTAACGTCTGAAAATTTTGTGCTTATTTAGCAGTGCCCTCTGGTGTCCAACTTGATCATTTCAGTTTGCCTTCAGGCAAAAAGTAAATCATTATACAACTAAATAAGTCTACAATTAGCATTCATTTATTCACCAAATATTTATTGAGTGCTCAGTCTATGCCAGTTTGTGAAAGGTGATGAGATACAGAGATGTATTTAAAAAAAAAAAAAAACATGGTTTGTTATCACTTATATGTGTAATCTAAAAATAAAACAAACTAGTGAATATACCCAAGCAGAAACAGAGTCAGAGATACAGAGAACAAATTAGAGGTTACCAGTAGGAAGGAGGGAGAGGGAGGGGCAAAACAGGGGCAGGGGATTCAGAGACACAAACTACTATGTGTGATATAAACAAGCAACAGGATACACTATACAGCACAGGGAAATACACCATTATGCTGTAGTAACTTTAAACGGAGTAGAATCTATAAAAATATTGAATCACTACTATGTTATGTATCTGAAACTAATATTGCAAATCAACTGTAATTAAAAAAAATTTTAAGGACACAGTTCTTTATTCTGTTCTTAAAGAGCCCATTGTCTAACAAGAGAAGAAGATGTAAATGCAATTATCTAATACAAGGTTAATTACTTAATCATACAAAAGAAATCAGTTTACCTATTTTTCACTAAAATGAGACCAACAGAGCTGAGTTGTCTCCATTTTCAAACTGTTCTGGACCATTCTTTACACGAGCAGGTATCTGGCTGTCCTGGGATGGAGCAACTTCCGTCAAGTACACAGGGAACATTACGAAAGAGAGTAACGTTCCAGAACATACAGGGAGATTGAGACCTAGTTTTGGAGCTTTCTCACAGAAAGCTCCTTTCACAGTCAACCCCAAGGCACTTCTGGTCTTGTAGTTACCTAGGGGCCCACCGGTCACCAGGCCTGACACATAAATTTAATGTTCATTTAGCCTTACATATCTTTCTGAAAATACAGACTGTTTTCTAACACTGCAATGAAAAGCCTCAAAAGGAATCAAATGGCAGAGACCCTAAGAACTGATAAGTCTGCAAATTTCCACCTAGGGTCACAGAAGCACACTTTGTTCTGAATCGGTGGATCTTCAGGCCTTCTGGGGAAGCAGAAGAGCCTGAAGGAGTGACCAAGACCTTCCATCAAAAAGAAAAGTCAAATTCAAATAACATCAAAGGAAAGGAGTCAGGAACTACTATAGCTCAAGTATGATGCTTTAAACAATTTCCCTTCTTTTGGCCATGTTTCCATTCCTGTTACTGCTGTTTTCTAGTGTAATAAGCCTTGGTTTGCTTCTCACCAACAGAAAATGGCAAAGGTGACAGGACATACGTGACTACATTATGTAAGATTACGAGGTCCACCTTGCTGACTCTCTCCTTGTCACTGGCTTTGAGCAAACAACCAGTTATGCTGGAAAGGCTCATGTGGCAAAGAGGGTGGCCTCTTGTCGACAGCCCACTAAACTGAGGTCCTCAGAACAAGGGCCGGCAGAGAATAAAAAGCTGCTATCAACCACATGAGTGAGGAAGGAGACCTTTCCCCAATAAAGCCTCAGATGGGACTATAGCCCCAATGGCAGCCTTACAAAGGACCCAACTTTGAGATAGTAAATGTGTTGTATTTTTAAGTTGCTAAGTTTGTGGTAATATTAGTATACAAAAATAATAACAAATACAGATCTCAGGACACATTTTTTTTACTTTAAAACATTTTTATTACAAAAGTAATACCAACAAAGAAAAAGTAAAATCTTAAAGACAAAGCCATCCATTTACTGCCCTGCCCTCCTATTATAACCACAGTTAGGAATTTATTTTGTCCTTTTTTTATTATATGCTTGGTGTGTTATTCACAGCCATAATTATATCCATTCATACACTTTGTGTCTTGCTTTTTTCTTTTTACTAAGCATTTTCTCATGTTTTACAGTATACTCATTTCTAATTTTTAATGGGTACATAACACACCATTCATTACCTTTGTATGTTTATTGACTATTTCCCCAGACCAGGTGTTGGCAAACTATGGCCCTGCATTTGTAAATAAAATTTTATTGGAAAATAGGCATATCCATTCATTTATATACTGTCTACAATTATTTTTATTCTACAAACAAGATAGCTGAGAAGTTGTGAGAAAATCTATATGGCCTAAAAAACCTAAAACAGTTCCTTCCTGGCCCTTTCCAGAAAAATTTTTCTGACTCTTGCCTTAACTTTTAAAACACCTTTCTAGGCAACAATTAATTAAGAAAAAGTGGAAAAACTAGGTCTACTGAAGAAAGATGTTTTTAAGGTTCACACTGTCTGCTACTATTAATATCTCTCCTACAATATTCTAGCTATGATACAGTATGGTCGTAGTAAGAATGGGAGAAAAAAAAAAAGGCCCAGTGCTCTTGTAGGTAACACTTCTCTGGTCCCTATTAATCTAGACATGCAATTTTACACTCTGGATGAGCATATTTTTAATTTTGATTTAAAGTTAATCAAAGAAGGAAGTAACATTAATTGTACCATGAAAACCAATCAAAAGAACACCTTCTACCAGGGATGAAAAAGCAGACTAAAGTAAATTCTCCATTTCTGCAGACTAGCTGTAGTGACCAAAAGACTGAGAGAGCTGAGTAAGGGAAAGAGATGGTGGTCTCAAGAATTTCCTATCCTTCTGAACACACCACAGGCATAAACCTGCATATGACTATAATCAAACTGTCTCCAGGTGAGAAAGTTCTAGAGCAACTATCTTGCTATTTTTTAACAAAATAAATTCTTCTATATGGGAAAGTTCTATTCTTCAAAAAAGAAAACTTCTGGAATAGGATCAGCTAAGTCAGCCCTGACTATCTCTGAGATAAAAGATGAACCAGGCTGATGGTTCTTAATCCAGTCTTGTGTGAACAAAGTAAGCATCAGGAAGTATAGGTGTCATCTTCTAAGGGAAATATTCTGCAACATAAAAAAAAGAAAAAGATCAGGATGGACCTTTTCCCCAAAAGATAATGTAATTTAAAGCAAAACTTGAAAGATATTTATTGTGATTATCTCAATTATGCTAACAATGCATGTAAAGAAATCATATAAAACACATTTATGTATTAAATTGTTCCTGTCAAATGCCAACTAATTTAACATTTCCTTAAATGTTCTTTTGGTTAAAACTATTATAAGCCTTTATATTTCACCCCAGTTACTCATCAAATAATTAAATGTGTTATGACTTCATGAAGTCATAGTTTCCTACTCTGGGAAACTATAAAATTTTCTGTAGAGTAAGGAAGTCAAATAATTTTTTGTGAAAACAACTAGGAACATGTTACTTTGAACAGAACATAGCTAGTTTTCTGAGGTATGAGACATCAAGTCCTTTTTCCCCTGAATTTTCATATAGTAAAAGAAGCGATGGTTCTGTGAGTGGATTGATTCACACCTAAAATCATGTCATAATTTTCTTCTTTTTTCACTGTTTTACTGATAGTCACCTCCAAACTGACCTGAGGATCTGGCAGCATAAATCCATCAGTGAGTTTGTAGTAGACTATTGTAGAGTCGGACTCCACTATGGCCAAAGTAAATGACATGGGCAAGTCGGGATCACCTTGCAATTTTCGAGATGCCTTCAAGATTTCCCTTATCCTGAAAATAGAGTCATAACACATTCAGGATTCACAGTCACTCAGTTAATAATAAGGTCAAATACTGTAAAATCTTGGAGACAAGGTATACAATAACATTATATCCGTAACGTTGACTCAGGAAATGTCTGAAGGCTCAAATATAAACACTTAAGTTACCTTTTTATACAGAAAATCCCACAAATAAGCACTATCTACTGACTTTCAGTCCTCCTCTTTTATATTCACTCATCTCTCCCGATCATTATACCTAAGAGAATCAAAACTGTATCTAGGGAACCTACAGAAAGGGACACTAACAATATTTAGTGCATCTAAATCGGCTAAAAATTTTTATTACTCATCTTCCAAGTTTCCAACTTGGTATCTTACAGCAAAACAATTGGTATTCAGGTTTGTTTTTCTTTTTTTTAATAGACTATAATAAACACTTCCCCATATTTCTACATGGTGCTCAAAATTACAATCTTTATAAGGTTATATAATATTCTATTGATTCACAATTTATCCAATCAGTCCCCTATTGCTATAATGTTCTTTCAATTTTGTGTGTGTGTGTGTGAGGAGGATGGCGCTAATAAACTGTGATAATCATCTTTCTGCAGGTAGTAGTTTCTTTTTAAATAATTCTGCTTGGTCTTTCCAAGTATCAGAATTATTGGATATGAATACAGATATTTCTGTGGCTCTCACGTATCCTGATACTTAATAAAAGCAAAAAGAAAAATACAGAGAGAAAAAAATTTTTTAATAAAATTATATGTCAAGCATCAATGTTATGAAGGATTTTGGTTTGCTTGCTGTGTAAAATAATCTACTAAATCAAATCTCAAGATCTTCAAAGCACTGTTAGCTTTTGCATACCATGAACTAAAAATCCTTATTACCTACCTAACAAAACCTGTGTTCAGTAATTGAGGAAAATATAAACTCCAGAGGAGTCTTCTTAAAAGGGCAAATAAAAAATGGTCAGCTGGTTTTTTCATTAAGTTAACTAATTTTCTAGAATTAGAAAAAGATTTACTAGCATATTAACATGCTACAACTGAATACATAAATAACACTATACTCTCTTTAGCAAAAGTCTAATTTGTCCCCTTAAATTCTACTCCCAACTCTAAGTAAAAATTCCTGTGGTGACTCTTCACCCATCCTACTAGCTCTTTAATTTATAAAGCATCTAAAAAGAAGTCTCTGCTTTGAAATAGCCTTCCTACAGTAATTATAATACTTTTTAAAAAATCTGTGGAGGAGGCAAGATTTTAAAAGTGATTTAAAACAGCAATAAACCCCTGGGAACGCTGAAACTGAATTGTTCTTGCTAAACTACCATTTAGTCACTGCATAATATGTTACAGAGTGATAACTAGTTTCTTAAAACAGTCACAAAAGACTGCTTACCTACTACCTATCATTAAATATTCACAAGTATATAATCACATAAGGAGAGAATGAGTTTCTAAGTTTGTCAAACCTCATAGTCAAACCATTTCTAAGATGACCTTGAGAGAGTCAATTCAACAGTATGGTAATACTGGTATTATGGATAAACAAAATTTTTTCCTGAAAAAAAATCTTAATTCCTTTTCAAGAGTCAGCAAAGCATCATCTTTCCCCAATCCTACAGAGACACCTTGTGCAAAACCTACATTACTGTAATCACTACCTTGTACTTAACACACCTAAGTGTCTGTTTCCACTGGCTTTACCAATTTTGAGGGTCAAAGCTTTCTAAGAAAAAAAATTGTTAATAGTATGTAGTAGAATGCTTTCAAGTATCTGTGGTAATGTCTTCAAAGTATCTGATATTTGCTTGCTTTTTGTTTAACGTGCATGCATGCTAAGTTGCTTCAGTTGTGTCCGACTCTGCAACCCTATGCACTATAGCCTGTCAAGCACCTCTGTCCATGGGATTCTCCAGGCAAGAATACTGGAGTGGGTTGCCATGTCCTCCTCCAGGGGATCTTTCCAACCCAGGGTTCAAACCCACATCTCTTACGTGTCATCACATATTCAAATTGCTTTATCATTTGTCTCCACACCAGGGCCTGGCAAACTCTGGTCACCTGTTTTTCTATAGCCCATGAGCTAAGAATGATCTTTATATCTTCAAATGGTACATTTTGAATGGTCATGTAAGTGCCCACATAATAGCCTTGATTTTGCCACTCTGTCCACGAAGCCCAACCTTTAAGAAAAGGTTTGCTGACCCCTACTCTACACTATGAAAAAATTTAAGAATAAAAATTGTAAGATATGATCACCAAGGTAGTGTTCCTTTTTTTCATTATTACATATTCAAAAGTCAGAGCAGAAGGAGATTTCACTTCTAATTAGGATATAGAAGATCTCAAAAGACCACCATTCCTATGATAATAAAGAGAAAATACCTCACTTGCTTAAAAATATACCATTTTTCTTTAATGCCATAAAAAAGAGGTAAAGACAAAGAAGTATAAAGGAGCTAAATTCCAATGAGAAATGAGCCCTTCCTGGGTAAACTAGAGACCAAGACACAGCCACTTCTAACCCTAAGGGCAACTGCTAATCTGGTCACTGTGGCTGGAGGAGTGAGCCAGTCATAGGAAAGTGATTTCACTGGGACCAGGAGAAAACAGCACAACATGTAGAAGCCACACTTGAACTATGTGGTGGGTTGGAATCTTGAGTGACATCAGTGCCTCGAGTCCCCCAATTCTTACTCATGGGACTTCTGCTGTGTTTAAGCAGCAGCATGAAAAGCTGGGGAAGGGACTAGAAAATGGCAGGCAAGCCCTAATCACTAGGCCCTGCTGAAGCGAGAGGCCTGATCCATTCTCAAGACATTTGAAACCAGAACAGGACTGATAACTATAAAGCTGCAACTCAGCTACGATTCCTCTTGACTTCTGATCTGAATGACCCTGCCTCTACCTGCCAGACAGAGGAGAGGATGAGCTCTTTGTGGGGCGGAGTGAGGGGGCGGTAGGTAGCATCCACATCAGTCTATCAACCTCAGTCTCCTCTTCATACACAATGGCCAGCATCCCATGAAAAACTCTAAGCTATGTGAAGAAGGTGGAAAATATATCTAATAATCAACATCAAAAAATCAATACAAGAAGACTATCAGAAAACTAAGGCTGTTGAAAAACTTAGATGCTGGAGTTAAGTAAGGACTCTAAAATAACTACAATAAATATTATGGTATTGAGAAAAAAACACAGACAAAATGAGTGATGAAAAATTTAAGCAGAAGAATGAAAATTCTAAAGAAAATGAACATCCTAGAATCTAAAAATATATTTTCAAAATTATTGACTGGGCTCAATGACAGATTAGACACAACAGAAGAAAGAACTTAATGAACCTAAAAACAGGTCACAAAAAACTTAACTGAAGTATAATACAAGGAGAACATTTTTTTTCTTTAAATAACACATCAGAGGACTTTAGCGCAGTATCAGTCTAACATACGTGTAAATTACAGAAAGAAAATAAGGAGAGAATGTGTATCTTAGTCTGTTCAGGCTGCTATAACAAAATACCACAGCGCATAAACAACAGAAGTTTATTTCTCAGAGTTCTGAAAGTTGAAAAGTCCAATATTAAGGCACCAGCACGGTCTCTTTCAGGTGGAGGTCCTCCTCCTGGTTCACAGCCAGAACCCTCTTACTACGTCTTCACATGGTGAAAGGGCTAAGAGACCTCTGTGAGGTCTTCTTTAAAGGCACTAATTCCATTTATGAGGGTTCTACCATCATTGATTGCTTAAGCACCTCCAAAGATCTCACCTCCTAATACCATCATCTTCTGGGCTAAGGATTTCACCATATGAAACACAGGGGACACATTTAGACTATAGCAGTGTAGAAGAAATAGTTCAGACTTTCCCAAAATTGTTGTCTCTGAATGTAAAGTGTCTCTCTTACAGAGAGCATGTAGTTGGATCTTGTTTTTATATCCAGTCTTATAATTCCTGTCCTTTGATTGGAAAGTTTAATCCATTCACATTTAAAACAATATTAATATTGTTGGATTTATGTATGTCATTTTGCTATTTGTTTTGGGTGGCTCAGCTGGTAAAGAATCCGCCTGCAGTGAGGGAGACCTGGGTTCAATCCCTGGGTTGGTAAGATCCCCTGGAGAAAGGAACAGCTAGTCACTCCAGTATTCTGGCCTGGAGAATTCCACAGGCTATATAGTCCATGGGGTCGCAAAGAGTTGGACACGACCGAGTGATTTTCACTTTCACTTTCTGTATATCACATGTCTTCTTTTTGTTCCTCTGTTCCTCCTTTACCTCCTTCTTTTGATTAAATTGATATTTTCTAGAGTACTATTTTGATTACTTTGTGTTTTTTTAACTATACAGTTGACCCCTGAACAACACAGATTTGAACTGTGCAGGTCTATTTATCTGTGGATTTCTTTTTCAATAAATATGTATTGAACACTATAGTACTATGATCCCTGGTCTATTGAATCTGTGGATACAGAACTGCAGACACAGAGGGTCAACTATAAAGCTATACTCAGATTTTCAACTATGCAGAGGATTGGCATCCCTAACTCCTGCTTTGTTCAAGGGTCAGCTTTACTTTTTTGAGTTCCTTAGTGGTGGTTCTAGAGATCACACTATATGCACCTTAATTTACCACAATTTACTCAGATTAATTCTAAAACAAATATAGAAACTCCAATATAATTTCATTCTTCTCTCCCTCCTTTGTGCTATTATTGTCATATATACTATGCCTATATATTATAAACTCAGTACAGTGTTATTACTTTATACAATCTTACATTTTTTAAAAAGTTAAGAGGAAAAAGGATAAAAAAATATATAACCTACATATTTAATATTTCTGGTATTAATGTTTCTTCAAGTTACTTTCTGATGTCATTTCCTTGCTTCTACACTGCCCCATCCTTTGTGTTAATATTATCATCTGTATTACTTCTTAATACACTGTAAGTCCGATCTGTTGATTTCTGACAAAGGTACAAAGGCAATTCAAT